AGAGAAGGAGAATAATGAAGAAAAAAATGGGAAAAATGCAAAAAGAAAAACAAGGAACAGGGTTACCCACGAGAAAGGGGAAAAAAAAAAAAATTGCAACCAGGAACAGGGAAAAGAAAAAAAGCTGAAAGCTAGAATGTGGGAGGGGAAGAATAAAGACCAATAGTAAAAAGGACAAAAGTAAAAATAATAATAGTAGTTTTAAAACAGACAAAAACAAATAAACTAAAAAACAGAAAAAAGAAAAGAAAATCGGGGCAGGGCAGGGCACCCAGGCCCTGTCCGAGCACACAGACTGGGATGGAATTCCTGCTGGCCCAGAAGGTGGGTAGGAGTGAGGGATGGCCGCACCTCTGTTCACCAAGAGGGTGTGAGATATAAGAGTAACAAGGGGAACGTCACACCTTTCCAGTAGTCTGCGTCCAGAATGTCCTTGAGGTTCCCAGCAAGCAGGGCCTGTTCTTAAGTCCCTGGAATCTGGGAAAACGCTGTCGCTTTAAATATCCAAAATGATCAAGCTGCTTGTAAACATTCAAAATGGCTGCACACTCTGGACAAACAAAAGTCCACAGCTCCACCTGCCTTCCCCTTCGCTGCTTTCCCTTTTATTCCCCAACCACCAGAGCAGTCCTCCGTGCAGTCACTGGCCAGCAGGGCCAATTTGTAGGTTAATTCTTAGGTCCTACCACCACTCGGCAATATCCGCTGTCAGACTGTCACTCCGTATGTCTCCTTTTTTGGTGTTTTCATGCAAATTCTTTTGCTAATTGGAATTTAGTCCACTTCTATATCCTTCCCTTCAAGGCTCAGGGGTCCAGGATTATCTTCTGTATCTGTGTTAATTGGTTCCCCTTTTCTTTGTGAAGAGGGTCTGTGCAGTCTTTCTGCCTATTCTGCCATCTTACTGGAACTCCTCTAATTCCAACTTTTTAAGGAATTGCAATACTGCTTACCACAGTGGTTGTACCATTTTACAGTCCCACAAACATTCTTGTGCAAGTCTTTGTGTGGACATACGCTTTCATTTTCTTGGGTATGTATCTAGAAGTGAAATGGCTGATTCATATTGCAAGTGTATGTTTAATTTTTAAAGAAACTTCCAACTGTCTTCCAAAGTGGTTTAAGCATTTTGCATTCCTGTCAACAGTGTATGAGAGTTCCAGTCGCTCCATATCCTTGCCAACATTTGGTGTTGTCAATCTTTGTGAATTTAATTGGCTGCTCTTTCAAAGTTAGCCAATATATGCATTGAGTTTCCAGAACGTTTTGCTCTTACTGATCAGTCTGGTATTGGATAGTTGCTCTGTGATCCATTTTCATTATCTGTGCATTTCTTTGTATCTTTGTCTCGCAAGAATTCTTTTTCCTCTGAGAGTAAGGGTGGGTGGGATGGTATAGAGGAGGTTCCTAAGGGAGTCTTGGTCACAACAGGTTGGGAACTGCCTTTCTGAGGGAAGCACTGGGGGTTTACTCCTCTGCCCTCATTTCTGGGCTTCCCTTGAGCTTGAGGCCCTGGTTTGGAGCAGGACATGGGGCTGAATGGTCTGCACTGCCTTTCCAGGCCATGTCTTTGAAGGGCAGCCCTGGAAGCTGTTTCTTTATCTCTTTTCCTTTTGTGGGAATCTCTGAGGCCCAGGATTCAGCTCCTGTTTCCTCTGATTGCAAGTAATGTAACTGCTGTGCCAGCCCACTGGGGTTGTTCATCTGGGACTCTCAGCCCACTTGGCTTCTCTCTCTCTTCCCTGCAGATATTGGCCCAGTGACCCTCACGGCGGACCCAGCGGTATTTCAGAGGGAACTGAGAGAACTCTACGTGCAGGTGGGCTAACCCCTCCCCTGGCTGCTCGCCATACCTTTTCCAAGGTCACTTGTTCTTTGTGCTGTCCTTCCCAGCCTACACCAAAGGCCAAGGACTTTCCCCCTCCTAGAGGCCAAGATGGCAGTTTCCTCCAGCTCTGCCTAGATTGAGAGTCCTGGTGATTTGGTACTTATTGCAGTTTGTTACCTCATTCAGTGAACCAAGTACCTACAGAAGCCCCCATGGCTGGCCCATAGTAGCTGATTTTTGTGTAGTGAATGATTGAAGAAGTGGAAGGAGAAGGCATTGATGTCCAGTTGAGAGTGTGTGTGGTGGCTAGGGGAGGATCTGAGATGAGTCAGTTCAGCTCCTACAACTAGACTCAAAATGGATCAGCTTCTCCATGGCCACCTGCACTGCTTTGCCCCACTGAGCATGCTGGGCCAGTGGTGGTGCTCCTCTCTCTGATCCCCACAGAGACCATAAATTTCCTGGAGGCAGGGACCACACATATTAGTCTAATTTACTACCAGATCTCTCTGGGCCTAGCATAGGGCCCAAAACATCCAGGGGACTCAGTAAGTCATTGTGGGGTGAATGAGTGAATCAAAGAAAAGAGTGCTAGCTGAGAAGCTGTCTTGTCAAATCCTGCTGCTGAGTGTTGCAGAGAGTTCCCATCTGGTGGGCAGGCAGGGGAGGGGATGTATTCATTTGGAATTGGTTCCAGGGAAGGCTGAGAAGAAGATTTGCACAGGGACTTCGAATGCTTTCCTCTACCTCATGCCCACCTCTTTCCTCTCCTGGCCGACCCCTCTGATCCTTCAAGCCTTGGCTTACATATGGCTTCTTTGGGCTCTTTCTTAGATGTTCTCATGGTTCTGCTCACCACCCCCAGCACATACACTCTAGCTCTCATCGCAGTGCTAATTAAATAATGATGTGTGTTCACTGGTGTCACATCTGCCCCCTTTACTAGATTCCAGGAGGGCAGGAACCATGTCACTCTTGTGTGGATGGATAAACAAATGATACTGCTTGTCCTAAGTTAAAGTCAGCTGGATGCTACTTTGTATTTCAGGGGAAGGAGTGGTTGGGACCATGGCCCAGCCCTTGGCTGGGGCCCCCTAACTTCTGATGGTTTTAGGAGTTACCCCTGGGTGATCCCTGCCTGGAGGAGGTTGGCAGCAGCTGCTGATGTGCCTCTGTCCCACAGGGAGGTGGTGACTGCCCAGAAATGAGTGTGGGGGCCATCAAGGCTGCTGTGGAGGTTGCCAACGCAGGCTCTTTCATCTACGTCTTCTCCGACGCCCGTGCCAAGGACTATCACAAGAAGGAGGAGGTGCTGCGTCTCCTCCAGCTTAAACAGTCACAGGTGAGCAACTCTGCCTTGGTCTTGGGGGGGCTGGCATTGGGGGACCATGGAGGGTCTAAGGAAGCTGGGGTCTCCCACTCAGGCAGGCCTGAGCCCCCACCTGGAGGCAGGGGACTGGGTGCTTTTCTTCGACAACCACAGCCCATCAGCCATGTGAACGAACCAAGCAAGTCTGGTGAATTCCAAGTGTGTTCTCATCCTCCGGGCCCCTTGCCTGCCTGCCAGGCTCACAGCCTCTCTGGCTGAGGCAGGCTCTTGATAAAGACCACACCACCCTACTTCTTTTACACCCTGTCTGAGTAGGTACAATCCATCTTCCTCCTGGTGTGGCCTCTGTTCATTGTCTCTACAACTCACGTCACCCTGTTCCTGTGTTTGGAAGATATGTCAGGGCTTTCTTGTTTCTGCTTTCTGCTTTCCAGCAATGACTGGAGGAAGGGATGTGAGAGAGGAAGGGAGAAGGACTGGCCCATGTGACTTCTGAGAGTAAAGACCTCGAAGGCTGAGGAAGCTTCTCAGCTCTTGCATCTGGAACAAACTGGAGTTCTCTGGGATTCTTCTAACTCTGCAGCCTCCTGGGGCCCCATGGAGATGACCCAGTTTCCATTGTCTTCATTGTCATAGATTTACTAACAGCTCTCACTTTTTGAGCACCTACTGTATTTCTGGCTTTGTGCTGAGCACTTGACTAGCATTAGCCAGATCCTCATGAGATGGACACTCTTAATATTCCTATTTTATAGATGGGTCACCTGAGCCTAGAGAGAGGAAAAGGCTCATCTAGGTCAGTCCTCACCGTCTCAGACCCAACCTCTCACACCTGGAGTAGGTGGTTGGGGATGCTGTGTGCCAGGTTGCACGTCTATCTTCCAGGTGGTCTTTGTGCTTACGGGAGACTGTGGTGACCGCACTCATCCTGGCTACCTGGCCTTTGAGGAGATCGCTGCCACCAGCTCTGGGCAGGTGTTCCACTTGGACAAGCAGCAAGTGACTGAGGTGAGCCAGGAAGGGAGTACCTTCCCCTGGCCTTCTGAGCCAGTTCCCTGAGGACAGTGAGGACATCAAGCATCTTGTATCTGGGCAGCTTTGCTCAATGATAGAAGAGCAATCGTAGCTGACAGTGCTGAGTGCTTGCCTTGAGGCAGTTGCAAGATGCGCTGTGGTCAGGGGCATTACAGCGTCATCTCCCCAAACCCTCCCACCCACCTGAGGCAGGTACTGTGGGTTTTCCTATTTTGGAGATAAAGAGGGTAAGGGTCAAAGAAGCAGCCTGGGTTTTGGGCTAGGTTCCAGTCCGGTAGGATGGACCTAGCAAAGTTTGGCAGAAGTATGGGCGTGGGGTTTCTTCTGAGCTTCCCCCAGAGTCAGGAAATTCAGGGGTGGGTAGAGGAGTGTGGGAGGCCCCTGGATTTTGGCTGTATTGCTGGGACAGAAAATGCTGCTTGGGGGTTTGGTGGGTTGGAGCTGGCTTGGCTCTGTGGTCTGAAGTGTGGGGCTGCCAATGGTCTAGACTCATTCAAGGCCTGATGCTAACCAGGTGTCTTCATTGTAGTCTCGCTCCTGGACCCCATGCCTGCTCTGCCTCCCCTACAGATCTCCCCACCTGCTCAGAGCTCCCTCCTTCCATTCTCTCTCCCCCATACTTCCACTCCTCCACAGCAGCTAGAGGAAGTCTCCCAGTGGCATACTGGTAAATGTTTAACAACTATCTTTCTGTAAAGAACAAAGATGCCCATTTCCATGGTATAAATACTCCCACCTTGGCCAACTGTAAGTTGCTGTCATGAAGTCACTGGATGAGAAGTTTGGGGGTGATGCTCACAGTTGGTTTCCACGAGCTGGTGTCGGCTGGTTCCTGAATCCAACCCAATACCCCTCTGATCCTCATCTGTGCTCTTCCCCTTGTCCACTGCTGGCCTCTTTGCTGTTTCTTCAGTGTCCATTACTCTTTCTTCCCCACTCTAGCACCTTTGTTCATGACTTGTGTTTTTCCAATCCTCTCTCTGGCTCCTTTGCATCTTCCCAGTCTTAGCTGAAATGTCACTCCTAAGGGAGACTATTCTTGATTTCCTATCAAGATTAAGTGTCCTTTCATATCTTCTCCAACTCCCTGTGCTGCTTTACGTAACTGTAATTTTATAATTATACCATTATTTAATTCACTAGGGTTCCTTGAGTGCAGTGGGTCCCATTGACCACTGTATCCTTAGCACCTAGCATAGCAAACAGTGCATAGCAGGTGCTCGGTAAATAGCTGGTGACTGGATGGACGTGAGTCCCTTGAGTGTGGGGCCCTGGGAAGAGAAAGGCGAGAGGCAGCAGCTCTGAGGCTAGCTCTGGCTTTGAGTCAGCCCTACTGTTGCCTCCAGGTGAGGATTTCGTGTGTTGTATATTTATGAACTGCTGAGAACGGTCTCCAGGGCCATGTTTAGATTAGCATGCCTTGACTCCCTGTTGACAGATGGCATTTATGGTTCTCTGTGACACATTAGGCTTTGTTTTTTGGCATGTCAGCCTACCCTGGCACTGAGCCACCAAGTGAGGGTGGGAGCATTTCATAGCAAAGGGATGACCTGCTCCTTGCTTTTGGGGAGAAACTTGCACAGGAACTCAGTTCCTGCTAGGTGCTAATCAGGCAGTGGGGCAGCCAGGCAGATTGGTGAGGAAAGCTTGCCAAGGCTGCGGGGCCTGGATCTCCTGGCCTCTCCCTGAACACAGAGAACCTGGGTGGGATCCACTGGCTCTTAGCTGTGCTGCCTGACCTGCTCAGAGAGCTTGGCTGGACAGCCTGTGCCTGACTTGGTGGGGCTGCGGATGACCAGGATTGGCTGCCTCTAGGTAGGGCCTGGATCCTTCTCCTTCCTGGACCTGAAGCGTTGTCCTTCGTTAGCTTAATGCTTTGGACCTGGCCCTTTCCAGATGTTTCTTAGAGGTTCAGCAAGCCTGGGAAAGTGGCTGGAGCAGCCAGGATTGTGGTCATGTCATCCCCCCGCCCCCCGCCCAGGAGAGGCTAATGGTGCCTTCACCAGAGCCAAGAGGCACCAGCTGGGAGAAGGACTTTTCAGACATTGCACAAGTCCCCAAAGCAGGCATGTGTGGCTAGGCCTTTTATCTTTACCTTTCCAGATGACATCTAGCATGATAGGAAGGAGTGGCATTTAAAAAAATTTTTTTAATTTTATTATGGTAAAAAATAAATATGATGGAAAATTTGTTGTTTTAACCATTTTTAAGTACACAATTCAATTACATTGATTACATTCATCATGTGAAGCATTACCACTATCTAGTTTCAAAATTTTTACATCATTCTAAAGAGAAACTCAGTATATCTTGATCAGTAACTCCCATATCCTCTTCCCTACAACCTCTGGTAACTGCTAATAAGCTTTGGCCTCTATTTGCCTGTTCTAGATATTTCATATAAGCGGGATCATAGAGTATCTGTCCTTTTGTGGAGCTGGACATATTGTATTAGCTCTTCTGCTCATTTACTGAGCACCTGCTGTGTGCCATGTGTAGCTGTAGGTGTTTAGTGTGGAGGAGGTAATCAATCACTCAAGCTTAGTTCCCAATGAATTTGAACATTTTGATTTTTCCAGTTGTGGAACTGGCCTAAGTCTGGATCAAAACGGCATACTTTTGGGACAGGCTTTTGAATGCTTTGAAAGCATTCAAAGTCTCTGTTCACTCCTTCCCCTGAAATACAAAGTAGCATCCAGCCGACTTTAACTTAGGACATGCAGAACCTCCATGGTCCCCCAATGCCAGCCCCCCAAGAGCATGGTGTTTTCAATCACCTCATATGCAGTAACCCCTGCTCAGAAGGTTCCCCAGAGTCCACTCTGGAGCCCTGAGGGCATCACAAGGCACAGAAGGCCTCCCACCCAGGTCCAGGCCCACAGGACAAGTAGCTTTGTTATGGGCAAGAAGGTCCACCTCCAATTCCCAAGTGGTGCTGTGCTTACAGGGCAGGCCTGCCTCTTTCTAGGGTCACTGGCATTCTGTCCCCCGTCTTGGTTCAGTAGCCTGAACTCCTGGGCATCTTCCCTCCATCAGAACCTTTTGGAGCAAGCTTGTAGTGACAGATAGACCTCCAAAAGTGTGCCAGGATCCCCTTTTGGGGTTTCAGGGTAACTAAGGGAAGGTGAAATTAGATGTCATATTACACTGTGCAAATCTGCTGCAAAACCAAAAACCAAAACCAAAATCATTGCCGTCAAGTCAGATCCAACTCATAGTGACCCCTTCTTGG